TTAAGTATTAAGATGGCGGGAGAAAGATCAACTTAGCGCATGATGCACCAGGCCCAGTAGGCATTCCCACAAGAGCGCAGCCGCACACACACAGCTGGATGCCATGGACCTGTAATTTTAGCATTCAGGAGGCTGAGGCAGGAGGACGGCTCCAAGTTAGAGGCTACTCTAACAGTGTTTTCTAGGCCAACCTGGGTAGTAGGATAAGACATCGTCTCAAAAGAAGGGAAAGAAAAAGAGGAAGGGGGAAAATGAAAGAAAAAAAGCAGGATCTTTGCACACCGTTCATCAATTCAGATGGTGGTCACACTAGAGTAACATGGCCCGACATCCAAGCCTGGTGTCTTTATAAGAGTAGGGAGAAGGGGTTAAGTCACAGATACTTGGGAAGGTCACATGACAACAAAGCCACAGATGGCAGTTACAGCACTACTAACAAAAAGTCGGGGAGCATTCAGCGGGAGCGCGGCCCTGTTGATCTGTGATTTCGCGCTCCCAGACTAAGACCTGTGAGAAAGTGACTTCCTACTGGTGTAAGCCACCACAGTGCAGCACTCTGTCCCAGCATACAGGAAACGAGCGTGTGTGACAACACAGATGGGGCTCCAGTGTGACCAGTTAAAGGCAACCTGAAGCCAGAAGACCACGTCCTTTGGATTCCATTCACAGGGTACTCTGAGGGACCACGGAGAGTGACCACCACGGGACACAGCCACTCTGTGTGAAGAAACCATCCTATACCTCAATGGTTGCTATGGTGGTTCCATGACATAAAGCTATCTTTTTTCTAAAGACTCAATTACATCTCAAAAAAAAGTATCAGAAGAAAACCTATGCCCCAAGACCCATTTTTACATCAATTTGTTATAGAATTTGCTATTTGGAAGAAGGTTCCTACTAGCCTAATGAGTGATTATACCATCATCAAAATAAAAGTAACAGTTACAGATCATAACCCACTCAGCAAAATGGGAATTCTTAAAATCACACACAGATATGCTATAAATATATGTCAATAAATATATTTACATATATTTGTTTTATGCCTGTGTGTTTATAATGCAAAGTTTGATGCAGTTTAGTGAGGACTTAAGGTAGCTGGGTAAGAACAGTCGGTCGTTCACTACAAAGGAGAAAGAGCAGCTTCAGAGCAGGAGCCTGAAAGGCCGACTGCCACAGGACAAACGAATCACACGCCTGATGCGATCCAGCCGCCACTTCTGAGCGCTTCCTACAGATTCACCATCTGAATCCGCCTGCCCTCTGTGAAGCCCTGGGTTCAACCCCAAGCCCCAGAAATTGTTAAGAGACAGCTGCACTACAAAGTAATTGCCTGTGACCGTCAACAAGGTCAGGTCACAAGAGTCAAAAATGCTTTTTAGGGTTCTCTCAAGGCAGGGTCTCATTAATCCCAGCTGGCCTCAAACTTACTCTACAGTCAAGGATGACTTTGGACTTCTAATCCTCCTGCTCACGTTGTTCTGGAAACCCAACCCAACCCAGGGCCTTGTGTATGCAGTCAGGTGCTCGACCAACTGAGCTGCATCCTTACCCCAAATTAGTGCACGGGGACCAGACCTCTAAGTCTTAGAGGCCAAGGCAGGAGGATAGAGAGCTGGACACCAGCCTGGGTTATATGCCAAAAAGCAAATAAAAACACATTTCATACGTGTGTGTAGACACGCGTGGTTGCGGGGTGGGGGGGAGTAGGCGTGTGTGAAAGCCTGGAGCTGACTGGTGGCGGCCTCAATCTTGCTCCACTGCACTGAGGCCAGTTCTCCTGCTGAGGTGCGAGCACACCAAGCGCAGCCGGTGTGGCTAGCCACCTCTGCTTCCTCGGTGCCATCATTTCTGGTGGCTGCCACACGTGCCCAGCTTTCCTGCATGTTCTAGAGATGTCACCTCTAGTGTTCATACTTACAGCAAACGCTTTATCTGCTGCGGTGTCTCCCCAAATCTCAAACGGTAATTTTTAAAAAGATGTATTTATTCTTATGCCTACATACGTGTGCCTGAGTGTATGAATGTGCACCATGTGCTTGCAGGTACTCACAGAGACCAGAAGAGGAATCAGATCCTCTGGAACTAGACTTCCAGGCAGGTGTGAACTTCCTGACAGGGTGCTGAGAACTAGACTTGGGTCCTCTGCAAGAGCAGCAGATGCTCTTAACTGCTGGGCTAGATTTCCAGCTCCCCAAAATTTTATTTTATTTTATTTATTTTTATTTTTTTATTTATTTATAGTTTATTGAGACCAGGTTTCTCAGTGTAGCTCTCACTGTCCTGGAACTTGCTCTGTAGGCCAGGCTGCACTCAGCTCAGAATCCACTGCCTCAGCCTCCCGAGTGCTGGGATTAAAAGCGTGCCACCCCTTGCTTAAAATAACAATTTTTAATGTTAAAAAATGTTCTTAATCTGTATGCTTAAATGCAGAAGTACCACAGATCCCAGTTTTCTCAAATATTAGCAAAAATGTGACTGGTTGAGCATTCCGTAACTTAAAAATCCAGAATCTGGGCAAGGGAATGGCTCAGGGGATAAAGCATTTGCCATGCAATCATGACGAGTTGAGTTCAGGCCCTCAGAATTCACATATGGCTGTCCATGACAGAACACATCTGTGAGCCCAGTACTCCTAGAGAGAAGTAGGAGAAACAGAGAAGAATCTCCAAAAGCTTGCTAGCCTGGTGTACACAGCAGCAAAGAGCTAGCCTGGTGTACACAG